CCCCAAAACCCCAAAACCCCAAAACCCCAAAACCCCAGCGTTGTAATTTGGGATTGATTATTTTTGCATTTTTATGATTACTATGGTTATGATTCATGCACCTAATATTGACATCCCGGCTATTTCTATAATTGTGAAGCTGTAATGGAAAATGAATATGTCAACTATGATGGAGAAGATGTTCTCAAGGTTCGAAATAGGAGCGATAAAAGAAGCTTCTACATATTTTGATGCGTAGTATAATAAGAGCATGAATAGAGTTGCCAGCATTCCGTGAGCTATATTTTAGTTTAGAAATGTTAATTTTCAAATTATATTCAAATAAACTTACTGATTACCATGAATGAATCATATGAAGTGTATTGCTCAAAATGAAGAACATCATCTTTTAAAAGGTTCCAGATAACGGGTTGAAAAAATAATCCAATCCCTCAGCTCATATATACCCAAGAAGCATGGACTCCATACAAATTTAATGCTCTGACAAAAATAAAGACTAAACCACCTAACCATATAGATCAGAATGCTGAAAGATAGCCTGTTAAACTTCCAGTTTTACCTTGATCGTCCATATTTAAAGATATCAGGTATATCCCAATAGGAGCCACACAAAGACACAATATATAACTTCTTGTTAGCTTCTCTTTCAAAAATATGGCTGCCATGATAGCACAAGAGATTGGGCACAAATTAATCATGAAAATCGCCTTTGATAAAGGCAATTGGTTGATAGCATATCAAACCAATAGATTGTTCACGACTCCACAAATAGTTCTTCCAATAATTAGTCATAACACTACACCTGAATATTTTAGAACGTCTGTGAGAGTGTCAGTGATGAATCCTAATAAAACACTCGCAATAATGGTAAAAACTCCCATAAAAATAGCAAAATCGTTGATAGAAACATATGGGCTAGACACTGCCAATAGTTTTATCTGAAGGCGAGCAACAGCAATAACATAGACATATATGATTGACAAAACTAAACCTTTTACTTTATTTTTGCCTCACCATGAGAAATATGAGCTTAGTCCTCCTCTTTTGTCACTTGATTCTATAAATATTGAATCATCTTTGCAGAACTAAGGTCTTTTGAATGCGTTTCATGTGATGCATTAATCTGATTCTTTCAAGATCCATCAGAGAAGTTCTTGTGCATTTTCAATTATATTTAAATATATTGGGGTTTTGGGGTTTTGGGGTTTTGGGGTTTTGGGG